TAGGCTGACCCTTGGTCCCCAACTCTGTAGCCTTCCACTTGGTCTGACCCTATTCTGCCTTAACCCTGTCCCTAAGGGCACTAGGGTCCAGCCCCAAGTTTATTTTCAGAGATAGGGACAGAAGCAACTGTCTCTCTGGAACCTGGGGTGGAGTAAATAATAGGTCCCCCCCACATTCCTGGGCCCAGTGAAATCTCCACCTTCCATACCTTTTCCTAAGCCCTACACACACCTACTCGGGAGGGACCCAAGGCTTTGGCAACTAGAAGGTAGAGGCCTCAGCCTTTGGCTACAAAGGTTACTGTCCCATCAGGGGACACTGCCCGGGGATTTTGTTGCCACACCTAAGCCTAGCTATGGACAAAATCCTGCCTTGGCCTCCTTTGGGGGTTAGCTAGGGCTCATCACACTCCTTCCTATTGCACGTGGATGTACCTCTGCCCCAAATGCCCTGGAGAACCTTAGGACAGGGCTGTCTTTATGCCCATGGGGAAAGTGAAGCCCAGAAAGCCCCACAGATAGATACTGTCAATTCTTCCTTCTCCCAGGCTGAGTACACCCACCAACCACCTGAGTGAGCCGCCCTGGGTGGCCACTGTCAAGCTGGCTGGCTCCCTAGTAGCTGGCCTGGAGCGCTACGACTTGCAGGCCACCCATTCCAACTGAGTGCAATCTGCCCAGCACCCTCTGCCTCACCTTCCTTGCCAATAAAGTACCCAGTCTACACAGCTTGCCTGGCTGTCTTAGTTACCACCTGGGAAGCTGAGGTGCAGAGAGAGCAGAGCGAGGCCTCCTTTAAAGAACCAACTCCTGTGCATACCAAGTCAAAGCGGCAAGATGCCAGTGAGCATCCACACTTAGGCCCAGGGGCAGGGTCTTGTCCCCTTTATACCACCAACGCTGTGGCTGAGCCAAAGTCACAGGTCACTCTGGAGCAACAGTGAGGATAACCAACTGGGCGGCTCTCTTGAAAACCCCACAGGTAGCTTGGCCAGACTTGGACTTCTTAAAGAACTTCAAAGCAGGAAACAGTCTAAGTCACAGTGTTGGCTCAACGAGGCCAGACTTGACATAGCAACATCAGGTCCCATACCGTGTGTTATGGAGGGCACAAATGGAGCCCACAGACAAGGCCGGTTTCACATGGCATTTCAAAAATTATTTAATCCATGGCCAACAATTATTAAAAATTGACACACGGGGCTTCACTGAGAAAAATCTAGTCCCCTAGCCCAGCACCACAATGTATCCACAGCTGGCTATGAGTCCCTCAGTCTGGGCCTGTGCTCTCCTGTGGGCCACGGCCACTGGGTAACACATACCCAGGAGGCCCAAAGGCCCCCAAACTCTCAACTATCTCCCA